ATTCATTAGGATGGTCGGCGCGTTGTGAACCAGTAGTCGCCGCAGAACCTTAAATTTGGTATGTTTCGATCTGGGTCTAAGGCTTCAATTATGTCTGCTCTCTGAATACTGCCAGCCAAAAATATACACAACCACTGGCTGTCCTGAAGTTGAGCTTTTCTAGTCTGCTCCATATCGATTGAATTCCCTACTACTTTCAAATACAGTAGATGGAGGTGCTTCAAGTTTCCAAGATCGGCAAGGCAAAATTCTTTAGCATCATTACGATCAGCTCTGGCAATGAGCCCCCTTAAATGTCTAAGAGAAGTCAATTTCTGAACGCCTTTTGGGTATTGAGTGAGAGCAGAGCAACCAACAGTACAAAGAGACCTCAAGTTGATTAATTTTCCTATTGAATCTGGCAACTGCTTGAGATTTTCGCAGCACCACAAATCCAAAAACTCCAAATTAAGTAGGTTGCAGAGTGCTTCAGGCAGCCTTTCTAATTTTTGATTAGAACCCAAGTGAAGGAATCTCAAGTGTATCAATTTCCCTATTCCTTCAGGAATTTCTTTGCATAAATTATCAGTTCCATCAGGCCAACCAAAATTCAATACCCTTAAACGTCTGCAATGATTAAACAAGCCACGCAAGGCCTCAAAAGTCAGTGCACCCTCTCCAGTGAAAGTTATAAGGGCTCGCAATTTTTCTGCACCAGAAATAGACGTAGGAAAAGGGATCCCTTCATCAATCATCACTGTCAAGTGACGATTCTTTGACCCATCTATAGTCAAATGGTCTGAGTTGATCTCTTTTATGGCAAACTCATTCTCCGCCAAATACCGAGCAAAATCATGTACTATGTCATGCATCTTACAAAAAAAAAGATCTCCTTCAACCATTGAAAAATCTTGAAAGAAAGAGCGATCGACTAAGATGCGGAAGTACTCTTCCCCTTTTGACTCCAAATCTGCATTACCATCCGACCCTAAATAACCCATCGCCATCCATTGTGGAATTAGTACGTGAGGAAAAATGCGGTGATCTTTGGGAAAAAGAACACAACACACGAAGCACCACTTTACTGGAGGGGGCAAATAATAATAACTCAGCAACAAAGGAGCAAAAATATCCTTTTGTGCCAATTCTAATTTCCATATTTCATTATTCAAGACACTTTGCCACTCTCTTTTGCTTCTTTTAGACTTTAAAAGGCTTCCCAGAGTTTTGGCAGCAAGCGGTAAGCCCTTACACTTCTCTGCAATTTCTCTCCCAATTTTCTCCAAATTCTGAGCATCCCTTCCTTCTAATGCTATATGTTTAATTATTGACCAACATCGCTCATTGCCCAATTTCTCCAGAGAAATGATTTGCGAGGAAGAGGACCCCATCATTTTTGCAACTTCAACATCACGTGTAGTAACCAAAATTCTGCTTCCTGGGGCACCAAATTTGAAAGCGGTTTTCAGTCCTTCCCACCTCTCACCTTTATTTCCATCCCAAACGTCATCTAAAATAAGAAAATATTTCATTCCCCGGATAGAGCTAGAAATCCTTTCCAAAAGAACCTGCAATGGATTCGATTCTAGGCCGTATGCAGCAGCATCACTAAGTTTTTCAAGCCCTTGAATGATTGCCCTCGCAACTCTTTTCTCATAAAAAAGGTCAGAGACACAAACCCAGATTACCCTGTCAAAATGCCCTTTAACATCATCATCATTGCATATCAGTTGTGCAAGAGCAGTCTTTCCTAACCCCCCCATCCCTACAATAGATATGGTAGGAATTAGTTCAACAGTCTCCTCTTCACCACTCCCTCCCCACAAATAGTTCAGTATTTCTGCCTTCTCCTTATCCCGGCCACACAGTTTTGACACATCCACAAAGGACGAAGTTTCCGGCCGTTGTTGAGGATGATTGATTGTGTTACTCATCGACATCAGCTGCAGCTGATACTTCTCTTTCTCCTTTACAATATCATCTAATCTTTGATTGATTTCCTTTATGTTGAGGGCAATTTTACGATGGGTATATACACGACAAATAGAAAAGCACGAAATGAAATTGCATGGTGCCTGTTTAAAATCGATAATATTTAACTCACTATTTTAGAAATACTTGATGTTTTGTAAGACAACATAATTACAATGAAAATGAATGCATCTAGAGGTTGAGATTAATTAGTGTATGTAAGATCACCTTCTTCTGAGAAGCAGCATTTTGTGCTTCAAGTGCTTCGATCTCTACTGTAGTTCTCCACACATCCAACGCATCCCCCATGTCGTAAGAAGCTTCTTTGAGCCTGTCCAGCCATTCCTTGACAAGATCGTCCGTTCTTTTCTTCTCCTCAGCGTCTCGGAGAACAGTATTGATGAGACGAAGATTTCTTTCAAGCTTTTCCACTTCTTTCTCAACACCAACTAGCAGCCCCACCTCTTCAGAGGCCCTGTCAATGGTTGTATTTAGCAGGTCTAGGACAAAGGAAACTATAGCATCCGCCATTTTGGCAGGGAGAGGGATTCACAGACAAGGTTGATAGGCAAATTGGGTTATTGATTAGCAGAACTGTGAAGGATGGGAAATGATAAGATCGAGTTGCACGACCTCCTTTTAAAGCAGTAGGTGCTATTCAGCCGCTTTACCTATTGTGACAAATCAGCCCTTCTATTTAAAAGTAGTGCAACTTCACCTCTCTACTTAACAAAAACCCGCAAATGAACCCTTATATTAAAGATGATGTCATCTTTTCTTTTGACTT